TATATATATATATATATATATATATATATATATATATATACATATATATAAACGAGCGAAATTTATCACGAACACGACACGAGCTGCTTAGAAAATCGTAGCCCAAGTGTTATTCTTCGTATCTTTCAGCACCACCGGAACACTGTGCAGCGTTATATCGGTAAACAACTTGACAGGGATATCGCGATAAACGCGATGCTTTATCGTGAAGGCGAAGCTATACCTACGGGAAGGATTTTTTGGTTATTGACGAATGGACAAACGTGCGGGAGGCGACTAATGAGGTGAAGACTGGCAACGAGGCATGCAGCCAACAAGCGTAACGACTGCGACCTAACGTGCACCGTATCAACGCCGGATTCTCGACAAATGTGATATTTACGTTGAAACGACGAAGAGAACCTCTCACACGACACGGCAGCCCATGGGAGACTGATGGGAGCACAGGACGACGAAGACAGCGACGACCACGGTCGCTCCGATCGTGGCGCCACGAAGCGGAGTATTTCCGCTCGATCGGACGGCATCATGATTGAGGTTATACCGAAGATCAAAATATCATCGATTGTAATTCGGGGTGTCACCGTCGCGATTGACATTGCCGCTTCTTCACTGAAGACAGGTGGTTCATCTTTATGTGTCAAAAGCATCATACTCATTCGGCATACGAAAATACGTTAATGAAATGAACGCTGGCATCGAAAGACTCACAGATAGTGCTTCGCGCGACCGTACCGCATCTCGTGTCATCATCGATGTATCGCAACAATCGAATTGTATTGAACACGTCGAGACGCCATAATTGTGATCTTCTGGGTCTTATACGTTAATCTGAATCATTGATTTGAGATATACGTTTCGCCGTATTTCGGACATTCTTTTGAAAACCGGATCACATATTAAGCATCAAATGCAGTTGCTCTTTATTGGAAGTTTTATTTATCAGGTGAAGATTGCGTATAATGCTATCTCAACTCTTGGAAATCAGACGGTCGCATTTGACGTTAAATTATTCAAATTCGGCGCGTCTTAACACACTGTACGCAATAACAATGGAGACAAATATACAACTCGCTCTCAATTGGTGGAAAGCATACGCATATATTGTCACGCATACTTGACATTTTTGTTAGAACGAAGGGTAAGCAAACATAACTCGCGATCGTGGTTCAGTAGCGTAGTTTATGTTCGACAATATGTTGACAGAAGAATGGCATAAATATATGAGAGAGAAAAGTGCAGAAGACGAGGGAAGAAAGTGGCTTGAAGCTATCGAATCTTGCTATACATCGTAAGATTTTATCGATACATCAGAAAACATGGGCCCATATTCTGAACATTCCTTTATCTACAAAACTGCCTCTAAAAGAGGCTTAGGAGCCACTTGATCGGCTGAGAAATTATATTTAAGGCACTTTTATCGATAAAAGAGGATTTAGAATATGGGCCATGGTGTCCAAAGAAAAAATAGTGATATCGGAGAAAATCAATCACAGAAAGATGTAGTTAAAGTTTAATGATCTTTACGATGGACATGATAGTCATGAATAATTTTATGACTGTGCTCGAGAAAATCACCTGCGAGACGTCGCTTCTCGTACATCACGTCAAAAAAATTACGCTTAATTCACGAGAAATGCATAAGGCGGTGAAAATTATTTTGCCCGGCCAAGCACGCGAAGAGACCAAGGCAGCTGCCAAGTTCAATGCGAATAAATCAAACGACTGATTAGGCAACATGCTCGACATGTATTACCTGTGAATTATGTATAGTTTTAAAGTTTATATAAAAATAATTAGGAAAATGATTATATTTTTTACACATATTGCGACACTTAATCGACGACATTATTGTATCAGAATATCATATATTACTGATACAATATTGTATAATAATAATATGTTATTTATTTCATAGAATCATTATTAATACCGATCTATCATTACCCACACAGCACGTAATATTATATAATATCACAGTAATATTTCCGTAATATTGTAATATCGCAGAAATATTATTGAAATATTACTGTGATATTATATATATCACGTGCTGTGTGGGATACGTTGAAAAGGAAAAATATTTAAAAATTAATAAATATTTAGTAGATTCTGTACAGTATATTTATTTAGAAATATACATAATAAAAAGTGTTATAAATAAGGAAATATGCATTTCTTAAAAATCTTAGTTTTTCGTAAAAACAATTGTTTATTCATCACCATTTACTGTTATTACAAGACATTTTATACACGTTGTTAAACCAACATTCAGGGTTGATTTAAAACGTCCTATGCCTACGTCTGGGGAAATCGCAAAATTTTCATAACGCAATTTATAATCGCAATTTTTATTTATTTTTAGGAGAATAACCTTTCATCAATTATCTAACTAATGAATTTAGCTAATTTAATTAGTGAGTAATTTTATTTGGAATTTATGAAGTAGCTATATGCTTTATATATTATCTATAACGGACTGGATTGTATGCTGAATCCAGTCTCCGATCACACATCTTTTCTCGACGCACGCTAACTCATCATCGACCAATGAGGTGGCCGCACAACGAACGGCCATTTTCCTTTCTCTACGGTCGCGCGGAGCACAACTGAGGGATTCTACCGTGCGCTACACGGTATCGTCAGGCGATCTTGTAGCAAATAGGGCGAGCGAGATAGGGCTTTGCTACACACATCCGCTGGTCTCGTTGCCTTATTTCTTCGTTTTGCTGCAAACAATAAGCAGTAATCTTGCTGGTCGCATCGTGTTCACTTAAATAACAAGACAACGTGATGGTCCTGGCGGAGAGAAACTCTGAGAACGTACGAAACGGCCGAAGATCGCGAGGCCCCAGCCCTAATGTACAGACGGAATCATCCAGCGAAGAGGATGCAGGTATACCGAACTCCATCTAGCCTCATTACCGACTCCGAGCGTTTCGTTTTAATTCATAACTTGTATGTCACGTCGGCAAAGCCCGAACGTCTGTTTGAAGTATTTTCGAGTCAGCACAAGAGTCAGGATGGTTTTCCAATTAAATGTTCAATGATACGAGAGACTTTGAAGAACGCGCTTTATCCCTGCCATTTGAATATCTCTCGTACAGCCGCAGATATTGCTTAAAATACCAACAATATTCTTTTATTTTCGTGAAACTTGTATCTTGAAAAGCGAATATTTAAATATTTAAATAGAATATAATACAATATATAATGATGCCAGTATATATGTGGAAGAGATATTGAGAACAAAATGTAACAGCAGTTAATCAAATTTATAAGTATTAGAATGTTATAAATAAAGCTTCATGAACAGTTTGCTGTTTCAAATTGAAACAAATGTATATGATATATGTATTTTATATTTTATAAGGCTTCTAGGATAAGTTTAATTCTTATTCTTTCCATTGCCATCAATATATATATATGTGTATTTTTACTTCATTTTATGTAATATATTTGACAAATATTAACAAAATAATTTTATTTTAAGTTCCAGCAGAAAAAATAAGAGTTGGACGTGATTATCAAGTCATAGTTCCAGAATATGTTCCTGTTCATGGTATGTTTAGCATTAGTACCAACACTAGCACTAGTATTAATATTAGTAGTATATAAATGAAGCAATATTCAAAATAATATATATTTTAGAACGTCGATTGGACCAATGTCCTGATAGAGCTCTGTTAGTTTGGTCACCAACTACAGATATACCAGATCAAAAATGTATGTAGTCATTTTTATATAGAGATTAATATGTATGCGAGTAAAGAGCAGAACTTTTTAATCTTTATCTCTTTTCATATTATTTAGTGGATGAATATATCATATTGGCAAAGGAAAAATATGGTTACAATGGAGAACAAGCATTAGGAATGTTGTTTTGGCATAAACATAATCTAGAACGTGCTGTTCTTGATTTAGCTAATTTTACACCGTTTCCTGATGAGTGGACAGTGGAGGATAAAGTATTATTCGAACAAGCATTTCAGTTTCATGGAAAAAGTTTTCATCGTATTCGTCAAATGGTAAGTATTGCATACTATTAATATCATTAGTGTCAATATTATTTCTTAAATGATTTTTACAGCATATGATATTTTATAAAAGTTTATCAAAGAGTTTATCAAAAGTTGATCAAGTTATGTGTGTTAATATATATAACATTTTTTTTAAACTAATAAAATTATATATTAATATTAAATATTATAACTTGTAAAATGCTATTAATCTTTGGAATACTTGTAATTATTCTCAAAAAATATTAAATAGGGTAAATTTTAAAATAAAATATATTTTTTAATTTGATATAACAATATTCATGTGACAATATTTTTGTGTGCAGCTACCTGACAAGTCTATCGCAAGCCTCGTAAAATATTACTACAGCTGGAAGAAGACACGTACTCGGACATCATTGATGGACAGACAAGCACGCAAATTAACGAGCGGCGGCAAAGAAGGCGAGAATGGCAGCGAAAATGGAAGCGAACTTGGCTCCAATACTGATAGTGAATCTGAGGAAAAAGTAAGAATATATAACGAATATAGTGAGATAAAAGTACCTAATTATAAAAAATTGAAACGTCCGCTCCGGTAAAAATTTCTTTATGAAATTTTTCTTTATTTATATTTTTGTTAAATATTATTTTAACATTTTTGAACTTAGAAAAAGAATTTAGAAGAATTTAGAAAAATCTGAACAAAACTTAGAAAATGAATTTTAATAGTGTGTGTGTGTGTGTGTGTGTGTGTGTGTGTTCAAAATAATTGAAAGTTGATTTTTTTTATTAAAATGTAATTCTATATTAAAATTGTTCTCTTTCTGTCTCCTTTACAATGGACAAATATTTCGTCGTTAAAAGATGGTACATGATACAACGTTTATGTAATAAAAATTTTGCTCGTTTATGTTAATAAAAATTTTCTTTTTAATATTGCGTAAAATAATAGAAAATGAATATAACGAAGATATATAACATGTGCTATCTTTTTATCATGGCGTGTAAAAGATCTAGTCTTATATATTATGCGCGATTGTTTATTATTTGCGTATAATTATGCTATCATTGCACGAATTGGTAATATGGAAAACGAAGCGTTTTTCCAAACTTACTTAGGCGTCCCAAAATTACAGAAATGTATCCACACGATAATATATTATGTACAATCGCAGGAATAAGATAAAACTATTTTATACAATATTAACACGGCAAGAATTATTTAAATTGCTATATAAAATATCTATACATATGTAGGACACTAAATTTTGTAATAGATCGATTTCAAAATTAATAATACATTGAGAGTAAAAAATTTCTTCATACTTTTCACCCGACAATCTAAACATTTCAAGTCTCTGTTGTTTTTGCACGTTTAAGAATATAAGTAAATAATTTAGCTGATCGTTACGTTACGTATGTGAACGTGAATGTGGAACGTTCCAGAAATGGACGATCCACCGCGGAATACGTCGTGGAAAGAACCAAGCTGTGCCAGGAAGCCAAGGCACTGATGTTAAGGCCCCATCCGACTCGGAAAACGCCCCTCAGGTTCAGGTACTCAGCCTAAACCTTACCCACTCGTTTATAGTATATAGTACGCTTCATTATAGTTTTGCTATTTTTATTATTTCACGTGGATTGTTAATCATTATCATATAGACGTCCCTTTCTTCAAATGCGATCGAAATTGAAATTCAACGAATTCTTTCGTGTCTAATTTCAATTCCTCTTGATACTGAAATTTTGATAGGCTGAAACCTTACTGAGGAAATAACATAATAAATCAGGATATACGAAACACCCAATAAACGTGAAATTGGTTTTATCAATCTCATAAAAAAAATGATTGAACCAACTGAAATAAATGTGAAAGAAACGCGTTTAATATTACAGAAAACAAGACGCAAGTTACGTTGCTCTTTCTTTTCTAACTTGTTCTGAGGATTCAAAACAGACAGATAAATTAATTACAAAATGGGAATGTATGTGTGGGTGGGTGGGGTTATCGAAATTTTTTTCTCAAAAGGGTGTTTGTGTTGTAGGGCTCGTGTAGCAATTGCGGCATAGCATGTCATAGTGTTCGTGCGACGCCCAAGGGACACGCGTGTCATAGCTGCTATCTGCACTGGAGGTCAGTGAACGTAACTAAATTAAATACCCCAATTTGTCTGCAAGTAAATGAATTTTACACTACGTAACACAAGAAGCGATTGAGAGGATATTCATACGAGACAGAACAGACAAAACATTTGTTGGAGCTCACTTGGTAACTTATCATTTTTAATTTTAATATTAATATTCAGTATTTTTCAGCAAAAATAAATGTGGAACGAAGTAGGCCTGTGGTGTTATAAATAAAGAAATAAAAATTGATAAATACTTATCAATTATTAAATTGATAAATATTTATCTTACGTTTAAGCAAATAACTGAGAAACTTATGAATATCCTTCGTAGTTCTCGCTTATTTCATATATCAAGTTTTATAAGCTCGTCATGATATTCAATTCATTTTGATAATATCAGAACGCAGTGTAGATTCGTTATTGTGTCCCATCTTAGAATTGATTTCACGTTGCACTCTACAACAGCAAAACTGTTTTCTGCTGGTTTAGGCGCACCGGTGTAACGAGACCGGTAACATCGATGGCGGGTCGTACGAATAAACGAAAACCACCGCGAGGCTTGGTCGTGAATCATGATGATTTGGCAGCCTTGGCTGGTCAACCAAATCAAGCTACCAACAGCTTGCAGGCTATCGACACTGAAATTGTTAGCCTAAAACGTCAAGTATGTTGTAGGATCAGAAAATTTGTGTAATATACACATCGTGTGGATACATTTTCTTTATATAATCACACAATGGTGTATTATATATTATCTTAATGACTGTGTAGTTATATATTACGTTATATTTTCAATAATCTATTTAATTTAATACAATGCATCATATGCATTGTATAGTAATTCTTGTTTAAAAATACAGATACAGTCTAACAAGCAACAAGTGAGCGCGCTAAAACGAAAAACAGCTGACGGGATCGATGATCTACGACCACCAGAAGTATCGAGCCGTATAAACGCACGTTGGACAAATGACGAGCTGCTATTGGCTGTTCAAGGTGTTCGAAAATATGGAAAAGACTTCTCAGCGATCGCCGATGTTATTGGTACTAAAACTGAAGCCCATCTACGGTCATTTTTTGTCAATTACCGACGGAGATACAATTTGGATGCAGTTTTAAAGGAATACGAGGCTGAAAATGGTCCAATATTAGTCGACGATGACAAAGAAGATAAGGTAACATATTATATATCTTTACAATATATCTTCGAGTAATTCTATCGAATCAGTTTTTCTTAACAAAAACTTGATCAAATGATCAAGTAAATATTTCAACACAAGTGAAAAAAATTATCACAAATTAAGCTTTACACGAATTAAGACTCCTGTTTTCTCACTGCAGTCATCTAAATTCATAATATTAGAAGCGTGAAAACGTATGGCAAAAATCATTGCGGAATACGTCGAAATAAAATTATACCCATAAAATGACATTTGTGATGGAATGAGCATATTTGTAAAATGTTTCAAAAACTTTCATATTACTCTAACCATCAATAAGTAACCATAAAATTAACGTGACAAAATCATGAGGAAAAATAGACTTAAAAAAAAAAGGTTGCATGTCACGTTAATTTCACGGTTATTTATTGATTGTTAGAATAAAAGAAAGAGTTTTTGGAATATTTTACAAATATACTCAATCGATTCCAAGAGTTATTTTATGGGCATATATCTTTTTATTTCAGCATATTTTACAAGAATTTTGGATACGTGTTCTCTCTCTCTCTCTCTCTCTCTCTCTCTCTCTCTCTCTCTCTCTCTCTCTTTCTTGCTTCTGATGTGATCAAAATCGAAAGTTTCGTGACGAGGAGCTTTAAAATAAAAGAACAAAAAACTCTATTCTAATAATTTCAAGCTGTTTTTATTTTAATAATTTTTTAAATTTTATTCGTGTATACTGTTTCGCGGATACTGATTAAATTAACAATTTAATTATATTTCCAGATGGATGTTGATCAAGCAAATGATACTGCAGAGACATCTCAGAAGGGAAAGACGTCCACAGGATCTGGGCAAGTTAGTAAATAACAAACGAGTACAATCTCAAGTACAAAACGAGAGAAAAATAATTGTACCCAGCGATAACAATCTATAATAGCATATGGAAAGTTTGCGAATTTGCTATTTTGTTTATGCGTATGGATTATTGAATCTTGAGCGCTCAACTCCTGATCTTCGAAAGCAAATTCTCAGTACTTGATACTGTTGTATTAATTCACAATGAAGTGAACAATTGCAAATTCATTTATGTATACATATTACATATGCATCTTACATATTAGAGATTAATTAATTTTTTTGTGTCTTAAATGTAACTTCACGAATTTGAACATATATGTAGAACTTAGAATTGTGTAAAGCAAAATTGATCTCATTTGGAGTTATACGATGATAAATCATCAAATATGAAGATCCTAAAGACATTAAATAAAAAAATCAAGGGATTATCTGCCAAAACTTTGTCAATTGAGACTTCTGGTTTTTCGCTTTTTGACAAAATTTTCGCGGCGAGAGATCAGAAACCTTAATTATAAAGAATGTAATCATATGTCTGTGTTTATATTAATCTTCCATCGATTATTGCTACTCATGTTGTAGCAGAAGTTCTGCCACAGTGAAATTCTTGTCGAGGGAACTTCACTGTTTACATATATGTATATATATATTTTGTATCACTTGTGTGCCTTCTAAATTTTATTGCTCTTGTAATAATCCTTAATAGTCTCTTGACCCTTTTTTTTACTTTATTTTATGAAACCTATTTGATTCTTACATAATTCAAAATTTACGGCAACAACAAATAACGTAGATGGTCATTTTTGTGTTTAATCCGATTGATTTTTATGTTACAAATAGAAATTTATAAGCCTAATGTACATATGAAAAATATCAGATATTTTAACGCTTTCCTTTCTGTAATTACGAATTTCATGCATAACTTACATGTTACACTTGAAAGAGCTCGATTGCATACGGTAATAATGTTGCAATGTGGACAATCTTTACCGTTGTAAGCAATGAGCGGAAAGGAAAGAAAGTATATTTAATTACAGATGTTTATAACAACATCAGCAGTATACTGAATATTATGATCTATTATAAAATTGCAAAAATGTAGATAATATTCTAGTAGTTCGTTAAAAAGCATACATACATTAATAAGATCAGTCCAAGTGGTAATAGAACGCACACTGCGAAATTTTATTTACAAAATGCATGATAGCTATTAAGCAATCATATTTTTATGTCTATATAATGTATATATGTTATAACCTTACTGTAGCGTCAGCTCTCTACTCAAAACATCTAGTGGTATGATTAATGTATAAGACATCACAGAAAATATTTAGAACCCTTCACTTGTTAAGACTTTATTGTTTTTCGTGATCACTTTCGTAATGATTAATGCTGCCAGGAAGACGATCAGAATTCTTATAAAATACGTCAAAATAAAAAGATATATCTATAAAATATTCAAAGTTTAAAATGAAAAAATTATCTCCTACTGTAAATCGAATTTTAGGTCGTAGAAGAGAAAAGTTCACAATTCTAACTGATGTAATTTGCAGTGACAAGATCAAATTTATGACCGAGTGTTTATTAAATTTGCCAATACAAAAGTTTAATATATTATAGGGCAGTTTCGAAATCAGAAGCGTATATTTAGCAAAAACTAAACTGCTGTAATAAATATCTCTCTCCCTAGGAATCAATTTAGATCAATTTAATACATACGCAGATGCTTTCAACACGTATTTTTAAAGAATTTTGATTGTGTGTTTTCTGACGTCATTAATCAAAATGATCACGTACGAAGAACGAGGAGGCTTAATATTTATTGGAATAATCTTAATAGCTCTTCAGTTTTTTAAACGTCATAGTAACATTACTGACATGATTTAGTTGATCTTTTTTCTTGTTTCTTCTCTGATATTGACATTATAATAAAATATAAGCATTATGTAAATTGAAAAAAGTTATATCTCTTATGCAAGACACTTTATGTTCAAAAAAAATCAAATTGTTTGGCACAATTGATACTAGATACTGCATACTACATACTAATTTATACTATATAGTGCATGAAATTAAATTTAACAATATTGTTAAGTAAATAGGTAGATTTAATTTTGATAGTAGTAATAACGAGACTGTGTCTTAAATATGTCTCTATATATAGTAACGATTAAAGATTATAGCGTCATTTAAATTTGACGAATTAGTATGCTTGTTCCACGAGAGCAATTGTATTTGATATACGTAAAAGAATACTAATAGTGAAAATCGCGATCACCAATAGCGACATATCAAGAAAACGCGTGCAATCCTTCGGTTTGTTCCAATTGCTCAAACAGACGAAGATCAAGATAATAATGTAAAAATGGAACAGACCAGGATTGGAATAATAATGTAAAGAGCGTTGCTAAATTAAAGGAAAGACTCTGTAATTAGATAAATTATTGTTAGGCATATATAAATATGAAGAAAACAAAGTTATTCGTAATTTTTAGTGGTTACGGCTGTAAGTGATGGTGAAAAGGAGCCATCGTGCAAATATGGAAATGTAAAAAAAAGTGATATGTTTGATAAAATCGTAATCATTGCGCTCCAATAGATTTCTGTAAGAGTGTGCAAAATCTGAATAAGATTAAAATTTAATTTTTGTCAAATCTGCTTTTCCTTTGAGATTAGATTTATCTGCACTTTACGCAGTGTAAGCTGCGTTTTACGGAGTTAACATGTGCATGCCACATTTTATTTATTTTCACGTTAGATTCGACGTTACTCTTAGGTGTAGTGTTTTTAATGTACTCCGCTCATCATCATTATCACTGATATATCCTCTATCCGCAATGAAATAATTCGAGCGCATTATATAATATTATAAAATACGGTATCTTGCTGTATCTCATGGATTTGATATGATACCAAAACGTATAAATTTTCCTAGATATTAAGCACTTTTGTCTTTTTGCGAAAATCCGGCTAAATAAAATCCTTGTTGCAACATGCTCGCAACCATTCGCGAATCATTTTAACATCATAATATGTAGCATAATGTAAATACACCGTTCAAGCCTATATATTTATACACATTCCCAAGAATGTGTGTGCCGCACATTTGGCTATATCTGTAAGTTGTACACATGTAATTATGCAGAATTATTAAATATGTCTTGCGCATTTTGTGAAGACACGTGTGTATGTAAATGAAATAATTTCTTTCTTTCTTTCTTTCTTTTTTTTTCAAGAACACGATTGTTACGATTAGTAGAATTAAGACAAGATATAAATATTCTTCGATACCTCACAATTCATATTCTATATTAAATTCATCTTACGAATTGTTTTGCTTCTTTCACTCTAGCATCTTGACAAAATATACATATTACTGTTTGTTAACCAACTTAATTATTTAATCAGTAATTGTTAAAATGGTATTTAAGATCATCGGAATTGTAAGATATAAGTTTAGTACAAGTCTGCTTTTCAAAATTGTAACAAATATTCATATTAGATATCATTATGTTAATCTTCAGTACTATCTAATGAATTGAAATAATACGTCCCTAACTATAATCTCCAATTATATCTGAGCAAAAATTACTTTGATAACATCAATACGAATTAAAAAAAAAACGAATAAAATTATATATATATATATATAAAGTAATTAAAACATAGAAATTACTTTAACGCTATTTACAACTTGTTCTTAAAATATGAGTGAAAAATGAATATATGAATCGATAACAGTAAAAAAATAATTTTAATGTATTAACAGTTCTCAATAATTATTTTATTTTACTTATTTGATCAAACTGACGCACACTGATAAAAGATTAACTTTTTTAACTTTAGATAGAAGAGGAAGAAACTTAATCGTCTCAGAACTTTAGATGTCGAACTATAATATACATAATTGTGTTTTACAATTTTAATTAGAAGACTGTTGAGCAATCTGGGGTACTAGTAGATACTGTAATACAAAATCTCGTTTGCGTGTCAAATAATTCATCTCCTTCGTATACAAAACCGTTCGCAGATCATCACAGTTAAAGACAATTGTCTTCTGAAGCTCGCGACTTATTTCAATCGTGCGTATAATGTTGCCATAATCGTGAGCGCTTCCATTAATCAACGAAGATTCGCCGTTTATCCAGAGTTTCATGCAGAAATAGCACAAATTTAAGAATTTGGATTCCTCTTTGTAGAAAGTAATATCGTCGTGATAGAACGGGTTCTCGATTGCCACTTTAGAATCGACCGAATCTCTAATTCCGCGTGTAAAGCACCGTATGATGTTCTCGATTTTTTCATTAGGCATGTTATTAGCGGTTGACGATTCATCGACATCTGGTCGACAGATGACATACTCTAAAAACCGTTGATAGATGATCTCCGTGTGTTGCAGCTTCTGCGATAGCTTGTACTTTTGCAACAATGTCGATACGATGTCACGTATCTCGGCGATTTCATCCTTCAGTAGGATCAAACAACACTTCATTAATATTAACTGACTGTTATTTGTCAGTTGAGCGAAACGACGAAGTGCGAACTCAACGTAATCCGTCGCCGCCAGTCTCGTCGATCGTTCGTCGTCCGTGCTCAAACAGAGAGCTCGCGACAACGCTTCGTTTATCGGCGTTTCGTGCTGAGAGAACGCCAGAATTAATGCGTTCTTCATGTAAATCACGTTCGGATTCGTCGCGACGGTGTTCGCATCGATTTCGCAAAACCTCTTCGTCAAGTTATTAAACCTTGACTCGTTATCCTCTAACAAATCGGTATTTTTCATCATTTTCCGCGCCAATGTTACCATGTGAGCGATGAGCAACGGATCGTGATCGTCCTCCATCGAGTTCAAGTACGTCAGGATGAATTCGAACAGCGAGACGGAATGCGACAAACCGTCTAGGAATCCGATACTCTGCTCGGTACAATTCATATCCAAGATACCGCGTGTGACTTTCGGAATGCTGTTTTTCACACGCGTGGCGCAGTATTTCGCCTGGAGTGAGAGAAACTGAAAGAATCCTGGCTGGATCTTTTGCAACGAGATTATACGTTCGATTATCGACCAATTGTCGTCGTGTTCGTTCGGCAAGAAGTTTATATCTTCAGATAGTATCCTCTCAAAGAACAGTATCTCCAACATATAGCACGGCTGCTTACAATGTCGCTCTCCCTCGCACATATCTCGCCAAGCTGTTAATACGTCTCTGTACCGCTGACAAAAGTGTATATGCAAATCAGAGGTGTGCGTATCTTTAAGTACATATGAGTTATTTAAAATGTGAGTATTACGTATCAACCTTTCTGTCAAATGTCTAACGATCAAAAACAATCCGTACGACTGATTGTCGTCTTTGCTTTCGCGGATAATCAGTTGGATCGTGTCTAACGTCGAGCCGAGACGCGTGGAAGGTGTCAGTGCCACGTACGCTTTAGCGGCCAATTGTCTGATGTGTATCATCGGTTTCTCGCAAAGCTCATACAACGATTTTCGGAATTCCTTTATGAATGTGGAAGACGGATAATCAACGAGATCGCAACCACCCGTCCACATCCTGGACAGGAGCGCGAGCGTGTGTGCGACTTTCGCGTAGGAACGCAATGCCGCGCCCGACGTTCCCGTTATCTTCGAGACAGCTCGCAATTGCGTCAACATACGACCAGCGAGCGTAGGATAGTGCGTGATGAAGTGGTTGAAAGAGTACCCGTCCGCGAAATCCAACAATTCGTCTTTCCTGTTCCCTGAGCATTGGCCCACCAATCTCGGCACTACCGAGCCGTACAACTGTAAACTCGCGTTCCTAGAAGATGGAACGATGTACATTACACAAGAGAAAATAAAAGAAACAATATAAGAAATATTCACTGAACTGAAGTGAACGACAAAAGAAAGAAATCGACTTTAATTAGTCAAAGAACACATCCGTCGAGTTCGACGATCTATTTTAGAGTAAAAGTAAGAAATATATGAATATATATTCGCAATAAATATTTATAATATTGCAAATATACAGAGTGTCCAAAAAAAGCTTACGGGGTAGATAGTTCTCATTATACTAAATAAAAAAGTTGAGTAAGTATAGGTAGAAAAATCACAATTTTTTCAAAGTTACAAATATTACAAATAGTATTACCGATTTATACAATAATCACGCGTGGACAGAAGAAAATCATTATGCAATTGCTGAGACAACCATCAATACCCATTTTCTTTAAACGTATGGGCGAATATTTTAAGAAATCATGCTCTAAGATCTATTGTTTTAATGAATAGATTATCAAGTAGAGCTGATCATAATTCTTTTGTATAAGTACGTTACTGTCTTACTTTTCGGTGATATTTCTCTTAGTGAAAAGCTACAAATGTGTTATATATATGATAGAGCTCCAACCTATTTTGTATTAATTATTAAAAAATATTTTTGAAAATGACATTTTCTCGTGGAAAGAGAGATTCGATGAAATGGATCGATTGCGTGGCCTCTTCGATCTCCTGACTTGAATTCACTGGACTTCTATTTACGGGGATATATTAAAATCTTAGTATATTCTTCACGGATAAATAATTTAGAAGTTTCAGTATCATAATGAGTATTATCTACCAAATCTTGAATTTTTTGTTAAACGACTTGTATAATCTATAAAATGCATGATAACGTAAAAAAGCGCCACGTCGCACATTACCTTACGGTCCAAACGTCAGACTCGATATAATCGAAACATCTCAAACAGATCTCCTCCATGTACGGGGTCAAACTGGCGTGTATCTCTTTATCGGCTACCAAAGCGCAAAGAAAATACAGACGCCTCGCCCACGGTGAGTCCTGTTCGGATTGTACTTTCTTGATTTCCTCCATTGAGAAATTCTCGAGCGAACGTAACAAGTTCTGCACCGCGAAATGCACCATAGGTCGGTCCTTCCGATTGTCGCTGACGACCAGTTTGTGAAACATAATGGTCAATCCTGCGCCGCGACGCGTCAGATGCAGCAGCTTTCCCGTGGTCTTACCCAACAAATTCATTAGATACTTTTTCGGCAACTCGCAGTACTGTTCTCTGTCGTATAGATGTCTGAAACAATCGTTAATTAGATGATCGTTCATTCGTCGTCTCGATGATCATCGATGCACACGCCGACAGTCACGATAGTTGGGTTAAATAAGTATTTCCGTCTCGCATTTTTTAATAATTACTTGGATAAATTTGCGATTGCCATTCCGGCGGATTCCACTACGCCTTTGTGCCGACACTTCAACAATACCGTGACGATAATATTCATAGAACACTTCACCGTCGCGTCCGACTGCATTAACATCCCGATTTCACTGGCGATCTCACATAACACCTACGTGAGAATGGTGCATACGTTATGTTCCATTTATTATTAAGCCGTAGTACAAATTTCTGATCATAACAATGAGCTATGATGATTCATTTCGGTGTGATGTTAAATTGCGAATTTGAACGTAGATATTTGTACCTTCAAAGACATCCAAATGCACGAAATAAGGACTTGATGTGCCGGTGATAACTGCAATTCGTCATAATTACAGTCGTCTATTTCACTAGTCCTAATATGCTCATCAATGGCTAACCCCATTTCCGCGAATGAAGATGAATAAGCTGAAAAAGAAAACGTTTCTCGAGTATACATAAATCATAAAATGAATAATTCTTACTAATAAGTAATGATTTACATTATTAACATGGCGATCTCTCAATTGATTAATTTTATCTTAATAAGAAAGAAACACCAGTCATTATGTAAAAGAGGCTCCAATAAATCATTATTAATATTCAATAATGAGAAGTTATTTTGCCTATGACCGTTTATAGCTGAAATATTGTGTATACATGCTCATTGTTGACGTTATTTACCTGTGTTTGATTCTTTTATGAATAACATGGACAAGAAAAAATTGACAGCGTCTTTTGAAAAACTCAGCACTTCCTCCATGAATTGCGGAGTCAGACTACATCTTTCCGGACCGTCACGAAAAGCGACTGTTCGCAAAGCAGTCAACATCCCGTAGAAAGGACAGTTCTGGATAACAGCTTTCAAAATATCGTTTCTCATTAGTGTTAATTGCTGTCGGGCCATGCAGAATAGAAATTCCGAGTAACATAAGGAAACGTGCTGAAAATTGGTATTATGCTCATCGTCGGAAAGCGTCGTAGATAAATCCTCGTTTATCTTGCCCGAAGATGTCCAATGTGCTAGTATCTTCATAAGAGCCGCTCCGCTTTCGATTTCGTAAAACTTGAAAGAATTACAATGTTGTATCCCGCATTTGTAGATTACCTGATCGCATAGTATTATTATTTTATATAGTATTAAACAGCTTTTCGTACGCGTTTCAGTGCAAAACATTAGTTTGCATTAAGCGCGTGTAATCATAAAAACATGCTTACATCCATGTCTACATTCGACAGAACATCCTTCTTGAAATATTTCAGAATAAGGTCGGCAGCTAGTTGTCGAATATCGAGTGTATTGTCCAACACGAGTCTCAATAATGCCAACAAGCTCATCTTATTGGTGAATTTCCAACTGTTAGTAGAAACCAGGTGCTTATTGATCACCGCAACATTACGAAGATACTCGACATGGGCGCAATTCTTGTACGAATCTCTGCTCGTGAAGCAGAGCAAAACCATGTACAGCTTCAAAGCGAGGATCTTGCGTTGATAACACGAGCCTATCTCGAAACAGTCCAGGAGAAATTCGTGCAGCCATTCCGTAAACTCGGAAAAGGATTCTACATAGTCAGCCGTAACGCTGATCAGTTTCAAGATATTCGAGTACAATATCCTAAAATGTTTAACTATGTGTTCGCGCATAAAGATGCTTGAAGCGTTGGCGTTAAACCAGAGGAATTGTTTGATCCGAAAGAACAGATCCGCCTGGTTGTCGTCGTCCAAAAGGTCGACGACGCGATAGCAAAGCGCGGCGAAAGCATTCGCTCGTGTGATCTCCTTTCTGTCGCCGATGTAACGATCAATGTTGCACATATACGGCATAGGTATATGCAATCTAGCGGCTGTCATCAATAGATGCGATTGAAAGTAACAATACTGCGAATCCATCCGCAATCCCCATAAAAATCCAAAGACGTCCTTGTGCATCTCAATAGTCGGATCGAGCCAATGTTTAAGTAACGCATAAAGTGCGTCGAAATTCTCACTGTAAGAAATATTTACGATTACACGACGTATCTATTACATCACCGAAGGATCTTTCTATCGCATTTGCTGCGCCGTAAATATCAATCTACGCTTCTCTTCGTACCATAAAAACCGTGAAGCATCACGACATCGTGAAAGATGCCGATGATTGAAAAGCGCTAAGCAAGACCCGCGTTAAAAGGGACATTGATCATATCAATCATTACCGAACAATCTTTGATTGAATCGATTCAATTTGTTCATCAATTGTGAGTTAAATCGACCTTTACTTAAATTTGCTTTCAATTGTCAATTAAGCGGCCTTAAATTAAATATACTAAGTTCAACTATTAATGATCTTTAATTCCCTTCGCTCATATCGACCGTCAATTGATGATCTTTAATTGAATTTATTGTAATCAAGTGTCAATTAAATGATCACCAATTGAATTGGCTCATATTAATCGTCCATTAAACATGATAATTAATTGAAAAACTAACTAATTACTATTAACCCTGCTTGAGACATTATCTGTTGAGAAAACAGTACTAAAATGCATAGATCACATTCTAACACTGAACTATAGAAAACTTTTCTTGGTATAGTTTTGTACCCCAAAAACAAATAATCAGAGATGAATTTTTAAAGTTATGTGCATTAATTATATCGCAATGCGAACTCACAAATCTCCCGACTCCCAGTGCTTGATCATAGTTTCCACGGTCTGTCCAAATACTTCCTTCCACTCGCTCTCGTTCAGCTTCCTCAGGATTACCATATAAACTTTCGTGACGGCGCAACGTAGCGACTTATGCGCCAAAGTGCCGAATAGATTGTACAAAAAGTTCTGCGTCAAATTCTCTATCATAGTTTCGACGTTGTCCCACAGTCGAAGAACTTCTGCCAGTATCGTAAACCTTACTTCGTCCTGCCATGATATATACTTGTCGCACGTATCGAATACATGCTTGAGAAATCCGTTATACTTCCGCGACATTATTCGAAGATATATATTGAAAAGCTGTACGTTTTGCTTGGGCACATCGTTGAACGCGTTCGACCAGTTGGAAAATATGACAGCCTCTAACTTTTGCTCCAAGACGATATCGTTTCGATGCCAAAAGGATGTGTCGCATGTCCTCTTTAACCAAACACACAACACCTTGTACGCGAAATAAGAATATCTGGTGTATTTCATGCAATTTCTATGTATAATGTCGAACATGGCTGAGAGAATGGGATCGAGGTACATGTCTTTCCGATTCACTTGCAGATAACCGTGGGCGTTTAATAATTTGAACAGCTCGAGATCAGACACGACGTACTCCTTCTCGAGAAAATAGAAATCACGCGATTCCAACTTCTGGAACTGCATCACAACGTCCAAGAATGAGACAGATCGCACAGAGAGCAAAGCATAAAACGCATGGCACGCTAATAAAACGCGCTCGTTTCCAGACTCCGAATTGCCACTAATTATCTCTACAATGTACCCCAGAACTGGTTCCCATGCTTTCGTGCTCTCGGCCACCGAAGAATCATGCGAACACGCGAAGTTTATCAATCTCTGAAAAAAAGACAAACAGCTATAGCGAGTCCGGGATGTTGAGATGGCGCGGGGAGTATGACTCCAGAAAATACTAACTCGAAAAATCGGCACGTCGTTCTGACAGTTCTGCAATTCGTATAACACGTCGTTCGGCTTCATGTTCTCGCACATTATTTCATAAAGTACAAAAATGACGATGATAGCTGAGATTCAATTTGATTTTTCCGCGGGACTTCTCTATTTTCCAATATATTCGAGGAATAATGTGCGTTTTCGGCAACAATGCTTCTAGTTGCACGTATCTTTATCCGCAGCTCGTAAACCGAGAACCGCCTGGCTCTTCTCATCGAATTGCTTCGGCAAGTCGGATCTCTCGGAACTTTGAGTCCTGCCGTCAAGGCAACGTATCCTGCAATTAACGGAGAACGATACGTTCTTGTTGAGCGGTTATTAGTAAAGGAAGAAAGGTGAGAAAGGAAAAGAAGATGTAAAACTGATTTTACATTGCGATCAAATTCGCAAAAGCTCTGGCAAATCTTAAGAATCATAAAGATTGGATAGAGTTATTTGGTTTGAGAATAGTGTAAGCATATGATTTAAATAACTGTCAGATTATAGTTTAGTGCATATCCGAGATTATATTCTGGAACGAGGGAACTCTCGAGAATGCAAACATCGTTGCAACTCCTTAGGTACCGGTTAAGGATAACAGAATAAAATAATAAAACTATCGTCGCAATAAAACCATTGTCTTGTTATTTCGAAGCGTTTTGTTTATTGTAAACAAACAACAAATGGAGACAATAATGTAATGACAGAAAACATTCGTGCGCGAGATGTATGAATTAGTTAATAAGTTTAATCGAGAATTACTATGACTGTAAAACTATGACAAATCGACAGATTAGTATTTTAGGTTTCCTTGGACTCTTCGGGAACGTACCCCCCCTTCTCTATTTGCTCTTTGAACTTCAAGTAATCTCGCTTACGATCAAAGTGTTTCACCTGCGTAACAGTGGCATAGAAGACTTGTTAGATAATAAAACGTCTCTATCTATTACCATCGATGTTAAACACGAAGTACATACATACTCAGTGCTTCATTGAAGTAATGTGAAAAGATATTGTTCGTAATACTCACCCATTGAGAGGGACAAAACTTTTCGTACTGTTTTCTAAATTCTATACACTCCTCCGGAGATTTGCCTTCATCCAGGCATTTCCAATATTCGTCCCTACGATTCCAACAATTCTCACGGTCTGCTTTATTTGGGAAAGACATTCTGCAACACAAGGATATAAGAAGATTCATTTAATCATATATAATTATATATTAACTTATTAGATATAATTAATATCATATATGATTTTTTAAAATAATTTTGTTCCAGCCATTTCTTTTGTGTACATATAAAACAAATAGTTAATTTTGTTAACTTCATTGATGAACTATTATGTATGAGCTTTAATATATTTCATTCGACGATATTGTATGGATACACTTACCTATGATATTTAACAATTAACTGTGATAATTCTATCAAATGTCCACTCACTCACTTATAAACTGCTACAGAATCGTTAATGCACCAATAAATATGTGAAATTATGGTTATAAAATAAATGACACGATATACTGAATATTTATAATCTTTAAATACCTGTTAATGCTTATTAGATTACTTATTAGATAATTTTATTTTAATTAACAGTAATTGATATTTAATGATATAATACTTAACATAGACAATAGAAAAATATTTGAATACTAATAACTTATTAGAATAAATCTCCTTAAATTATGTTTTGAAAATTGTGTTTTAAAACATAGTTTCTGTGTAAAACAAATAAAAACATAACTTCAATAGTAGGAAATAAAAATGCAAAGATCAAATCCAAAAAATATAGAAATGTTAATAAATATAACAAAATATAAAAAAGTATAAGTTATAATAATAATACATATAATGTTAAGATATATGTAAATTATACATATAATGTAAGAGTATATTGTAAAAAATACAAATATTATTAAAAATTATTAAAAAAATACAAATATTATTAAAAATTACACAGAAATGTATATATTTGTAATAGAAGTAATGTTATATAATGTCAAACAATTAAATTTAGAAAAAAAGCATAGCATACATTCCAGTATATCACATATTGTTTTTGCTTGCTAACTAGTTCTCGCAAAGTTTGCTTCAAACTTATTTTTAACTGTACAAAAATAGCTCTTGAAAAGCATATCACATGATCATACTTATATAACCAACTTATACAAAAAGAAATTACAAATTTAATGAGAAAACAGTACAAGTGCAAATTGTCATTATATTATAGTAAAAATTCACATACAAATAGTAATGTTTTAAGTATAAACTTTACTCTTTTACAATGAAATATAACCTCTCTCTAAGACTATGATAAAATTATAAATTTAACAAATTACAAAGTAATAAATGTAAAATAGCCATTTCTTTTCAAATAAAGGTTTCAATTTCTATGTTCTACCCAAATACGTTTATTAATCTCTCTCTCATAATTTATCATAGTTTACGCAAAGGTTAACTAACCTGAATTAGTCGCAATAACGACGTGAAAGAAACAATAACGATGGAATTATTCGTACTATCTAGGATGTGTGCCAATCATTGAATTCCGTTCATCTCGCTTTGCACCACAAATAAATCTTTAAATAATTTGTAGTTATCAAAACATTCGTTATTCGACAATTCCAAAGAATTTATAACATGTGCTTTCGCTCTATACAGTACTTAGAGTAGATCTCCAATGTTTCTTTCGTCTGTCTACAAAAGATGAGAACATTTGATTAATGTTTTAATACAGAAAGTGTATGAAAAATATATTAAAAACAGTATTTAATTGAATGAAGCTTTCTGATGAAAGTATTTGATTAAGGGTTAATACTTTTTATTAGTGTATTACTAAATGTCTCCGCGTCAATGTCAATGTCAATGATTGGTCTATGTTAATGTGATTTTTGGACTATTTAACCTACCTATTTTACCTTTCTTTTTTTAAGTTTCTTATTGTTACAGTGATTCTTATTTACTTTTACCCTTCACATAATCTTTTAATAGTATAGTATTTCGCATAGTATTTCGCATCATCCGTATAGAAGTAAAAATTAAAAGTTTAATCCAGATCTCACGTTACGGCGATTTTCAACAGATTTTGTAGACAAATATTTTTTTTTAACTTTGGTGTCCCTCCCACCGTGTCACAGCCTTCCCCGAAGATATTTGCGGCTATTTGACATTATTCTCTTTATTTTCTTAATTACTTAAAATAAATAACCAAGTTCTTCCTTTTTTGTTTCTTTCTGTATTTGTATTTCTATTTCTTTTCAAATATTAATACATAATCTCCAGTTATATCCATTCAATCAGTGGCGCGTCGTACGTCAGCTCGCCGCAACGTTCCGGAAGGAACTTTATAAGAAAATATTTGACATTGAAAATTTAAATTAGATTAAGGTGTTCAATTTGATTAGCGCGCTATCTAATGACAGGAAAATATGTATATTTTTTTTCGATTTTTTTTTTGTTCAACTTTTAAAGCTGATATTCATATACAATCTTTGATCTGTTCTTTTTAATTGCACCAGTGCTGCGAGATCGCGAAACTTTTGGTGCGTTCGCTTTGGGCGCTTTGCGACTTTTGTAAGAGTGCGTTCTCATTTAGGGGTGCGTTCAAATTCTTCATCCGGGTGCACTCTATTACTAGAAACACTATGGTATATGTTACATATACTATAGCACTTCTAGTAATAGAATACACCCGAGTGTGGAATCTGAACGCAGCCTAGCGCGTACGCGCGCGCGTCGTCCGAGTTAAGCCAATCAAATCGTCCCATTTTATTGCGTACTTTACGCCCTAATCAGGATTCACACCGCATCCGATATCCGACGTACAAAGTCCGATATCCAATAGGAGAACAGGTTTCTAATATAGAATTCAATTCTCCATTGGAAAGCTATTCTTTTATTGGATATCGAACATCGTCCTGCATAAGGGCCGGTTTTACCAACTCCGGATAAACCAACCTACGATTAAATTTTAATTACCGGAAGTGCCAATATCGAGATGAATATAAATTGTTTATTGAGGTTCAGTATGATCAGAGAGAAACCTGAGAGCGGCCACGCCATACGTTTTGGCAGACTCCGATTTTCACGCTATTCGATGCGCCATCTGTATCCATTTTTGAGATGGAACTACGTTCCCTACGTCCATTTTCAGACGCTGCCGGTAAAGTGTCAATTTGTTGCGTGTCCATTCTATGCCCATTTTCTGGCGATTTGTGTCCGTGTTAAGCGCATAATTGCATGGTTAAGAACATGAACAGTCCATTTTTTCAATCACGCAATTATGCGCTTAACACGGACACGAATCATCAAAAAATGAGCATAGAATGGACACGCAACAAATCGACACTTTACCGGCAGCGTTTGAAAATGGACGTAGTTCCACCTAAAAAATGGGTGCAGATGGCACATCAAACAGCGTGAAAATCGGTGTCGGCCAAAACGTATGGCGTGGCCGCTCTCAGGTTTCTCTCTGCAGTGACTATAGCTACGTTCCGAAATGCATTGCCAGTACTGAAAATCTATAGTTCATATTACGTATATTATAGAAGGTTAGGCGACAGTTTCCCGAAAAGTGGAGGGGATAATGTTGGTACCAAAGAAAATCTCTACACGATATAATTTAAAGATTCTGTTCTTTGTAACTGCACTACGAAATTGGTGCAATACATTGAAATGAGGCAAGTATACGTTTTCTCACTCTAACCTTATGCATTAGTTCAGCAGTGCAGTTACAAAAAACAGATCTTTAAATTATATCGTATAGAGATTTCTCTTTGTACCAACATTATCCTCTCCACTTTTCGGGAAACTGTCGCCTAACCATTATAGAATTTAGTACTGGCAGTGAATTTCAGAACGCAGCCTAGCCCTCGAGCTGAGTACGGATATGCAGTGTTGTGTCGACGATTACGACAATTGGAATGCAATTTATGTCGCCGTATGCATGAAAATATCTAGGGATATTGCAACTGGAAAGCATCCGTCATTTTGAAGATAATTGAAAAGCACACACATTATTACCGACCGTTGTAGTAATAATGTGTTCTCGTAAACAGAACGGGGGCGGCACTTCCTTCTAGAAAAAATCGGCACATCCGACCAAGTCGGCATACGACAAATGAAATAACATTCTGATACACATACAATGTCTCGATATTCAATATCTATAGCCAATAACATGGGAGTTTGCCTTCGCTGTAGTTGTCAATTGTTCGTGAGTTTTGTCGTAAGTGGGCACCGTGGATAAGTTTTTTCTGATCGTAGCGTGTGTATATGCATACACACATTACTCATACATTACATATATATATATATATATATA